TGACCCCTGACGCGAGGCCCTTAAACGCCAGATCCTTGCGCTTTCGCATATTCCGATTATTCCGAAAACAATCGCCTACAGGTATTCTATATTCGTGGGAGGGCTTTGGTCAACACTCTTCTCACACTGCAGGGATTTGGAGAACTTTGCTAGCCGTGTTGCCTATCACAGCTACCTTCTTTGGAATCAGTTTGCTAGTCTTACTCGCATTAGACCATTACAATACGATAATCCTTAATTGTGGTTCGACAATCTCTGCGATTAGTTCGAAAAGAAGTCATCCCCGGATGAGTTGCTACGAGTAGCTTAGCCCTATATCTGGCTTCGCAAACATATCGCATACAAACAGAGTTGGGGTCAGTACGAATTCATTAATACGCATTGAGCCATTAGTGATGTCTGATTAATATCGAGATAGAGCACGTTCTTCTTCTCAATTCGGCCGTTGCCACCAAAAAGACTCCGCCCGATTAATTCGACGCTCGTCTGCAGCCGTTCATCCCGGCCAAGGGTTAATATGGAATGCCTTTGTAGGTAGTTGGCACGACGATCCTTGTTGCTAGTCAAATACGCTATGCACGCAAGACTATTCATTGACAAAACACCCGTAGGATGAACTTGAATCGAGCCAGACGAACTTGATACGAGATGCTGAGCTAAATCTATCCCTGCCCCAAGTAAGCTTTTTTCATCCTCATTTAGAAGGTCCCTGAACGCAGATATGATGAGCACAAAAGGACTCCGCACAGTATGGAAGATCAATGTGCTGATTCGATCCGTCACGACGATGCGGCTTTGACCTTCCTTTTCGATCGAGAGAGCTCACCAGCAATAGCCTTGTCAGACCACAAATAAGGTATAAACAAGACTCCACTCAAAGTTGCGGGACTAGAGGCTTTAGACCACCATCACATGTATTGCGTCGTACCTGGAAGAGTGATGGCATTCGGAAATGCAGCTTTCGTCTACTTGGTTGTGTGCCATTGAGGATCCCGGTCCCCGCATCGTACCTCGCAAATGGAAGCTCGCCATTGCCGGTACAGCTACAGCCATTCTCGGGTGGCAAAGATGGATCGAATGAGACGTTACGGCCTTGGCAGGTACGGGAATTGAGTTGTGGTGCCTTTTTTCAGGTATATAAAGACATGGGGTGCTGTCTTGAGATGAGTTCTCGCTTTCGTTCCGGCCAAGCAGCACCATAGTTGCGAGTTTCAGCTCTCGGGACTGTTTGCTACGAAAACAAAATGGTAGCATACCTCCGCTTGCTGCCCATCTTGGGTCTTCTTCTGGCAGAGGGCGCCAATGCGGCTGCCCAGAGCCCTCAAGGAATCGCCAATGGAAAGGAAGACTGGACAAGGGGAGAGTTGCCTTTTGTTCCAGGGGCTTACATTGTCGAGTACGAGGACGGCCATGTGCGTTGACTCGATTCTCTCCATTGCCCTTCCAGCGTGTCAGTTCCACAGTTCAAACGTCGAGTTCTAACCTTATCATTACAAATAGGAAGAAGCATCGCTCTTTAGCGACCTTCAACGGCATGGCCTCCCTGCGACCAAGCGGATGAACCTCAACTATACCTTGTTCAAAGGCGCTTCCTTCCAACTGAAAACCATTGATCTGGATATCCGTTCTTCGGTTGCCAAAATCCTATCTGTTCCCTCCGTCAAACAGGTGTGGCCTGTCCAGCTCTACAAAAGACCCGCGAATACGTCAATTAGCTCAATCAGCAGTGATTCTAGCCACTTGAAAGAAGCCTCAGATCTGCTACGCAGAGCAACGTCTACAAAGGACACTTATGCGCCACACGTTGCCGTCGAGGTCGATAAGCTTCACGCTGAGGGAATCACAGGCAAGGGTGTCAAGATTAGCATCATCGACACTGGAGTTGATTTCAACCATCCCGCTTTGGGTGCATGCTTTGGCGAGGGTTGCGTCGTCAGTTATGGAATGGACCTGGTTGGAGACGATTACAATGGAAGCAATACCCCCGTGCCTGGCGGTGAACCCTTTAGCACTTGCGATGGCCACGGAACACACGTCACGGGCATCATTGGAGCGTTGCCAAACCCCATGGGCTTCACGGGCGCCGCTCCCGGGGCAACTATTGGCATGTACAGAGTCTTTGGCTGCTCCGGTGATGTTGGAGCCGACGTTGCCATTGCAGCTGTCAACAAGGCTTACGAAGACGGAGCGGATATCATCACCATCTCTCTTGGTGGATCATCCGGCTGGACCGAAGACTCCTTTTCAGTTGCTGTTTCGCGTGTAGTCGAAGCCGGTGTCCCCTGCACGGTGGCCAACGGTAACTCAGGCTCAGGAGGACTGTTTGTTGCAGGCACTCCGGCCAACGGCAAAGGCGTCACCGCGGTGTCATCTGTTGAGAGCACTTGGACGCCGATTTTGGGAACCGCGGGATATGTGAGCACCGACAACTCCACAAGTAACCAGACTCTCTTTGTGTATACCCCTGGATCTTTCCCATTCCCCAACATCACTCTCCCGGTGTGGGCAGTGACACCCGAATTTACTACTGATGGCTCTTATGGCGCTTGCAATCCTCTCAATGACAAGGCGCCAGCCGACCTCAGCAATGTAGTCGTTCTCCTGTCACAAGATGCTTGCGACTCCTGGCCTGAAGTTTCGAATCTGCAATTGAGAAATGCCCAGTACTACATGTTCTACCTGGATGGGCCTGGAAAGTAAGACTTTAATCCCCCCTTTCTCGTTGGTGACACACAAGACACACAACTAACATTTCTTGACCTACAGCCCCTACCAAATCGGAGCCACCGATGCCAAAGGTCTCGGATTGACGGGCTATTCTCAAGGCGTCTTGTGGCAGAAGCAGATCAGCAGCGGCCAGGACCTATACTTGACTTTTGTCCAGCCAACATCCAGTGCCAAGTCTGGCGTCTTTGTTCCCAATGCCGTCAATCCCAACTACATTGACACCTTTACAAGCTGGGGCCCGACATGGCAAGCAGATATCAACCCCTCCATCACAACCCCCGGAGGTTCAATTCTCTCTACCTGGCCCTTGCCCGCCGGAGGCTACCAAATTGACCAGGGTACTTCCATGGCTACGCCGCTCATGGCCTCGGTCTACGCCCTGATTATGCAAGCACGAGGCATCAAAGACCCCAAGACTCTGATGAACTTGGTATCTTCAACGGCTCTGCAGCTGCCCTTCTACGATGGAACAACCCTCTATGCCAACGAGTTGGCTCCTGTCGCTCAGCAAGGCGCCGGTTTGGCTCAAGCTTACAAGGCTGCCCACGCAACAACTTTGCTCAGCGTCCCCAACATTGCATTCAACGATACCGACAACTTTGTCAAGAAGGCTAGCTTCTCGATCAAGAACACGGGAAAGCGAAGCGTCACATACACTATCGGCCACACTCCCTCTCTGACCATGTACACATACGGAAATGGCGACAGCCACTTCCCGGCCCCATTCCCGAACCCCATCGCCCAGGGCGCTTCGGCCAAGCTTGCCTTTTCCCACAACAAGGTCACAGTCCCAGCAGGAAAATCGGCCGAGATTACGGTGGTGGCGACTCCCCCTCATGGACTAAATGCTTCCGCCCTTCCCGTTTACAGCGGATATATTACCCTGAACGGTACGAATAGTGAAGATCTTGTTGTTCCTTACTTGGGTATCGTGGGCAGCTTGGCCAAGCTTCCGGTGCTAGACCCTGACTTCAACTACATGATTCACTACAACGTCTACTCGACTACGCCGGCCGTCGACAACACTACGTTTATTATTCCTTATCCTATTGATGGATCCCCGCAGCTCATTGACCCTCCTCCTGATTATCCCGCCGCGCTCATGCAGATCGATGCCGGTTCTCCTCTCCTCCGAGTCGATCTCCTCGCTACAGGCGAGACAAAAGCCAAGGTTAACACGACGAATGTGCTGGGCGTCGATATCGTAGGCAGTCTTCCTGGCTACCCTCTCCCGTTCACTGGAAGATCCTTTTTCGTCAACGCATTCACCGGAATGACACAAGAGGGTATCGTCGTTCCTGAGGGAAGCTACCAGTTCTTGATCAGGGCAGTGAGCATCTATGGAGATGTGAACAATGCCAAGAATTATGAGAGCATGCTTACTCAGACGTTTAACATTCAGTACAACACGACTGAGGCGCGATAAAGACGAAAGCTGTGTATATAAAAGAGGAGGACACAAATTCTTTTCCTTGTCTTGAGAGGCAAGGTATTGTAAATAGTTAGGGTAGCTGATACAAATAGCGTCACCGTTGTACCTTTTGTGTTCATACGTGTCTAATGCTACCATATATGTCGCCAAATCTCCCACGGAGATGAATTATACGATGTCTACTAACTTATTGTGAAGGCGATTTTAGGTGACGAGGAGATGAAAAAGTCTTGGTCGGCGGCTCTTAGAGCATATTTCCAAGCGCAATATCACACAAGACTATCCGATATGGTGTAGTGGCTAACATCGCTCGCTCTCATCCTTCGAGTGCCGAGCAGCCCTGGGTTCGATTCCCAGTATCGGAGATTTTCTTTTTTGTTTCGAAACTCAAAACGTCGCACCAATATGAAATTTGTTTTTTTTTTTCTTAAAAAATTTCACTCTTGTTCACAAATTTGTTAACGTTGTGATATCTCTAAGTACATTTTTGCTTTGGTGACCAGTGATCAATTGCACATGTAGTCTTGCCAATTACCACTACAAGTCGGTAGTAAGAGGTTCAGTTGCGGTTCACATCAGCATCACAACAACGGTTTCTTCCATTGAACAAAGACACGGCATGGAACAAAGACTGGGCATACCTAGTATTTTCATTTCACTAGGCTACTAGGTATCAATCACGGCAGATAAGTTATGCATATCACTATAGAGAAGACCCCATACGAATAAAGTAAACTCATCAATTCATACTGTCATAAGTCTTAAACATAATTAGGACTTGGAATTCTATCATAAACACCATTTAGACCATTCCATTGAAATATTCAATCCATCCTTGACTCTAAGCACACAGAGTCAAAGTGACATCCTTATCCGCACCGCAGTTCTTGACCTGGCTTCCCGCAGGAGGGACACCGCTGCCCCAAACAATCTGAGGGCAAGCAGTATTGGCGCTAGAAACAACCACCTTGTGGCCGTTGAAGGCATCGCCAAAGACATCCGAAAGATCGTACCAGACGGTGTTGCTGTCAAGGTTGATGGCAAAGTTGGTCTGGGGCTTGCCGGTGTAGAGGCCATCGGGCTGAACGGTGACCTTGATGGCACGACCGCCAGTCACGGGGTCTCGCGAGAAGGTCTCGCCATAGGAACCGCCTTGAGCAAGTGTTGTTGGCTGGGAGATGGCGCTGCCGACGGACCAGAGGGTAACGCTGAAGGGGCACTTGTTGACGACACGAGCCTTGCCCAGAGCAGTGGCTGATTCAACGAATGCGGCAATGGCAAGAACGGCAGTGGTGGTGAACTTCATGTTGGCGAAACTTGGGAAAGCGTAAAGAATTGAAGATGATGGTTTTATTGTAGCGAGTCTTGTGTGAATCTTGAGAGTGTGTGAGCTGATCTGATCAAGACTCTTGTCTCAACGGGAATCATCCTGCCTTTTTATATCTCCCCAAGTCTTGTCAATGCATAAACCTCTTGGGATGCCCAATGCTACGTTTCGTATACTTGCTACCGACTATTCCGTGCAATTGGTACTCTTGACAGCTCGCTGATGGCAAAATCGGCCAACACATTCTGACAGCCTCACGCATTCTGGGGGATCTGCGCAATCCACATTTCCACGTTAAGCTTAAAGCCTCTCAGAATACGAGCACCGCGTTTCCCAAACGAGCCCTCACCTGGCGGTGAAAGTCGCAAAGCAGTGGCTGAGAGCTGCATGACGGGTTGTACAGTGAATACGAGGCCAGAGGATTACTTGCTCTTTTTCCATTGCGTAAGATGTATACTCGTAGCTCGCCGTAGACTGGCAGCGGACGGGAAGGGCAGCAGAGCTCCGGCTGTAAGTGAGGCAACGCCGGCCACTAGCGGAGGAGCTTTTGGCGGGATCGACGCGCCAAGCATCGTATTATGGGATGCGGGGGCTTCCGACTCAGACAGTTACCGAGGCCAGGACTCACCCAGAAACCAGATGCTAGAATGCAAGCGGCCTGGCGTTGTCTGGAGCAGGCACAGAAATCGGCTCCAAAAGCCGTTGTCTCTCTCGGGGAGCTGAATCTCGTGAGATCATGTGTTGGCTCAGGCATCAGCCCACAAGCGTCCCGTCGGCGCGTGACTCAATGCGACAGTACCGGCCGTCTAGAACGATTCCGCTCCGTTTGGGTACCAATAGTCGGGCGCCGCATCGGCTTTTGAAAGGGCTGACCCGCGGGTGCAAGTAGAGTGGGATCATGATGTAGATGGCGTCGTGTTGTGGAGGAATGCACGGCGGAAGCGTGGCCTTGGACTCGGGTAGGACAGGAGGATGACAGGGCGCGGTCTGGACGCTTTGTATTTTTAGCTCCCAGTGGTCGATTATGCTCCTAGCGACACACACGATTTCCGATACTTGCTCCGTGCAATCAAGATCTGCCCACCGCTGGCCCTCTGTGCATGTTGCATTACCTTGGCGGCCTGTGGTATGCTTAAAACGAGAGTGCGGCTGGTAAGCAGCCACACCGTTTAACACGTCACGCTGGGAAAGCAACAAAATAGTCGAGAGAGAAGTCCAGTTGTCTATTCATCCAAGTATCTATAGGTATTACGCTCTAACCAATCGACCAAGATAAGTCGTTTCCGCATCTCGTCATCAGCTCTACGCGTCCGACGATTTATAAGGACCCGGGAACTGGGTCGCTCCCTCCACTCCATGGAACCAGCTGGTACGATTGTCGGTGAAAAGCTCAAGCTGAGGTCGCAGCTTAGTCTCCTGCACCTTGAAATCATCGACGGTACCAACTCTCATGAAGCTGTGGTGAGGCGTGAGGGCGCTTCTGCGCCACATGAGGGTGCCGCAGGTCGTGCAGAAGGTGTTGGTCATTGTGGTTCCCGAAGCAGGCGTCTTGTCCTGGCCCCAGTGAGACAAGTTGTCTTCACCGCGGACAAACTTGATGAAGGAGTTGTCGACGGTGAAGTTGGTGGCGAACATGGAACCGGTGATCTTGCGACAGTCGAAGCAGTTGCAGTGAAAAGTGTAGACCAGACCAGGGGCTTCAGTAGACTATAGTTTAAATACCAACGTTAGCATGTACAACTTTCTGTCGAAACCAAGTCATGATATTGTTGAACTTACAAAGACGACTTGCACAGCGCCGCACAAGCAGGTTGCGGTGGCTTCGGTATCAGATGACCAGCCGTCTCGAGCAACACCGGCCAGGGGAAAATATTGAGAATCAGCCTTGGAAGCCATTGTGGATGATGGTTTGTTTGTTTGTTTGTTTGTTTGTTTGTTGAGAAAGTTGAGAAGTTGTACAAGGTAGTTGGTTAATGCCTGTGTGTTGTATTGTGTTGTATTGTATTGTGTTGTGTTGTGTTGTTGATGCAGTGATGAGATGATTGTTCTTTCTCAGGAACCATCGAGGCTATATATACTATTTGCGAAGCCATCAAAATCCCACCATCCATCTCAATCTTAATGAAACCTCATCAAAATCCTCAACATTACAAACTATCGTCCATCCTTCGCCCTTCTCTTCCATTTCCCTTTTCAGTAATTCTGGTCTCACAGGGTAGACTGCCGCCTATGATCTCATTTTAGCGCAAGACTCACGGCAGTTCCGCTACGAAGGCGGGGATGGAGTACGTAAGCGGGGTGGAACATTAGCTTTTCCCCTTTGGGCAAAATTGACCAATGTTGGTTTAGCGCCTGCGGAAGATACCGCCAATCCGCTATTAATCGATTCCGACCGGCAGTTAGAAATTCCCTGTTTCAGCGTCTTGGTCATCCTTGGGTTTCTTGGAAAATAGTCTCGGGCTTTTCGGCAGTTGTTTAGACTACTGTTTTGGGTTATAGATTTCTATTTGGGGCAGAGGGTGTCATGGATTCTTTTCTGCCAACTCGATGGGCGTCTGAGACGAGGTGCGTTATCGCTATCTTTGCGCGATTGGGCGATTGGGCGATGGCGATTGGGCGATTGGGCGATTGGGCGACCGGGCGACTGGGCAAGAGCGACTAAGCGACCGGGCGACTAGGCAAGAGGCAAGAACGACTGGGCGCCTTGTTGTGGAGGTGGCGTTGATCGCATGCCCTGGAGAGGAAAAGGCAATTTTGATCTCTTTCAAACCACTACCTTGTATTTCAAGCCATTCCTCATGACTACTTAGTACCTACTATAGGTATAGTAGGTATTCTGAAACTCAAGGAAATCCACTCTCATATTAATCATCTTTTATTTCACGCATTAACAGACTGCATATTTGACCAAACTAACCTCACGTTATAACAGAACTAGAACAATGAATGATCGAGTTACACTCACTTCTCCGTCCACACTCCCTCGATCCTCGACTTTCGAAGCACCAGCCCTGCCAAATCAGCAACTCGTCCGCTGGTGAGCAGCTCCAGCACCTGCAAATGGGCCTGCAGCTCTTTTCCAATCCAATTCCGCAGCTCAATGGCATTCAGTGAATCAAGTCCAAAGGCCGTGATGGACGTGTTCCCCTGCCGTGCCGCCATCACCTCTTCAGGTAGCATCAGAATAGCGCCAAGTTTGTCCCGAAGGCCATTTGTCACAATCTCTTGAGCCTCCTTGGCGGTGGTGCAATTTCGCAGCTGCTGGCCAACAGACAAGTTCTCAGATGCTGAAGACGTATCTGCGTCGCCTGATGTGGCAAGCAGGGCAGCACGGAGGTGAGAGAATTTCGCATCCGCGGCGTAAAACGGCATCGACGATGCGTTATCAAAGCCCATTCCGGTAATCACTTGGCCTTGACAGAAGCAATCGACTTTGCCTGTCATGGCAGATTCGATCAATGCCAGTACCTCCGCCTCACCTACAGTACTGTCAGACAAATTCTTCATGACCTGTGACATCTTGGCTGCATTTTCAGCCAAATAACCGACTCCCTCGACCGCAGCGAGATCGATTGATGCGGCTGCCAGGCCTTTGCGGCGTCGATGCAAGACAAGAGCGTCAAGATACGTGTTGGCAGCAGAATAGTGTGCCTGGCCTCGGTTGCCCACAATACCAGCAACAGACGAGAGGGCAATAAAAAATTGGAGAGGAGTATTGATGAGCGCGTTATGAAAGTTCCACGCTCCGGAGATTTTACTTCTAACGACGGCTTCGTAGTCTTCAAAGGTCATCTTCTCAAAAAGGACGTCCTAGGATATCAGTTAGCGATGGACTTGATCAACAGCAACATCAATGTGGATGGAAAACATACTCTGAGAACCATGGCCGCGTGGATGATGCCTCGAATTGGAGGTAAATCCTCTTGCAACTCCTCCACTAATTCTTGGACATTCTTTTCATCTGCCACATCACAAGGCACAATGTATATCGAAGCACCTAGCTTTCGACTCTCCTTCATCAGCTTGCTCAAATCATCAGTCACCTTGCCGCTCCGAGAAAGTAATATGATGTGACGAGCCCCTCGTCTCACCATACGCCTCGTGATTGAGCGTCCCAGACCACCTGTTCCACCAATAATCAGATATGTTGCATCGCGCTCTAACATATCCGAGCGAGGCGCAGGATGAGTGGCTTTGACCTGACTTCTGCCACTATGCGTTACAACCAACTTTCCTGTCGTTTTGCCGCTTTGCAGCTTGCGAAGCGCTCCCTCGACATCTTGAATGTTGACGCATGTGATGGGCTCGATGGGGTTGACCGTCTTGTTTCTGAGGAGGCGCATGACAGATGCAAACGTGCGTTCCATGATTTTGGGCCGTTCTGCCGCGACAAGCGTCAAATCGACCGAGCTGAACGTACAATTGTACTCAAGCTTGGCCATCTCGAGTCTTGTGTTCTTTGTGATATCCCGCTTTCCGAGCTCGATGAAGCGCCCAAACGGCGCAAGGCATTCCCATGTCTCGCGAAGAAGATCTCCCGCAAGCGAATTGATCACAACATCAACCCCATGGCCATCAGTAGCCTCCCGCACGGCTGGACCAAACGAAGTATCTCGACTGTAAAAGATGCGGCTTTCTGGGATGCCATATGTATCCACCAGGAACATTTTCTTCTCTGCACTCCCAACGGTGGCATAAATTTCTGCGCCAATCATCTGCGCCAGCTGGATGGCTGCTTGTCCAACACCGCCAGTTGCGGCATGGATCAATATCTTTTCCCCATACTCCAGTCGAGCAAGGTCCATGATGCCGTAGTAGGCGGTGCAGTATACAACTGGAATTGATGCTGCCACCTCGAAACTCATATCATCAGGGATAGTCGCGGCGCTGGACACAAGACATCGAGAGTATGTGCTGTAGGCACCCAGAGACATGGCGCAGACACGATCGCCAACTTTCAGAGAACCAACACTCGAGCCGATGCGGGATATGGTGCCGCTGCATTCGACACCGAGGTATGGGCTGGCCACCTGGCCCATTGCGATAACTACATCCTTGAAGTTCATGCCTGTGCATGCTACGTTGATCTCAACCTCGTGGGCACCCAGAGGTGTCTCATGTTCGTCTTTCCAGTAAAGGGAGTCGAGGGCGCCATAAGTGCCAACAGCAACTGTGAGCCGTCTTCCAGACTGTTCAAACGGCTGCAAGTAGGGCGGTGCGGCTGAAGTCTGTGTGTCATGAAAGATGGCAAGATTCATGTCGTCTTGCTTGACCACACGGGGAACTACGAGCTTGCCATCTTCTTCCGCAAACTCGTAGTCTACAGGAGTGTCATCTTCAGGCATCGCAGTAGAAACTTTGGCGGCACGAAGTATGAGCTCGGCTGTATCCCGCACATCAAGCTTCGAATGGGGATCCAAATCAAGAGAGGCTACAGCCTTGTTTGCCTCGGAACGAACTGTGCGCAGGAGCCCTTGCGAAATGTTGCTCTCTGGATGTTCTGCAAATCTATACGCTCCAGAGGTAACCCAGAGCATAGACTGACAGGTAGTGAGTAGATTCTGCGTCTTTTCGAATATCTCCGTGGTCATAGTGGCAAACAGTGGCTTGTCTATTTCAGTCAAACAGATGTAACAAGAACTGGGATCGGGCGTGACGTCGGAAAAGTCAACAAGTTGTGGCCGTTTCGCCGTACGCAGCTCCAGGAGATCCAGAAGCGTTCCTACGAGTGGATCACTTTTGTTGTGGTGAGAGATTAGGACCAAGTCGGCATCACCTAGGCCGTCATTAAGGCTGGATGCTGTAACCTCACCGTTGGTCGCGTTGCCGTTTCCTACCATACCATTGCCGTTGGTCTCTTGGGATGTCTTTTGGGGGGTATCATGGTGCCCATTCATATGTTCCTTTGCACAGCTTCCCCCATTGGCATGCCCGTTATGCCCGTTGCTGCTTGCCGAAATCACATTGGCTTTGTCAAGGGACTCCCATTGTACTTTATAACAGATGGATCGCGGGCTTGCACCCTCATCAATGTCGCCATTCACTGGAGTCATCCTAAAGCCACTGATCTTTGCCACAGGTTCAACGTCATCCTTATGCCACATGTCGATGAAAAAGTCGACGGGCCCAGGAGCCGTAAAGTCTGGACGCCCATGAGCGACAACTTGCACCCGGTCACCAGGGTTGTTAGGCAACTTGCTGCTTATATCCATTTCTTTGACGGCAGACGGCATGAAGAGAGAGGGCATCTCGCCACTACCCGCACCAAGTATTGGAAAGGTTAGTTGAAACAACAAATCCACGAATGCTGCAGGTGCAATGGATGCTGACTCAAATGATGCCGGCATCATGGTTGCTGTATCAGGAACGGTCAAGGAAGCAGTAGAGTACTGCCCGTGGATTTTCATATCGGCCTCTGGCGAGATTTTGAAGGCTCCGCTATAACCCGCTCCTCGAGACTCTAATTCAGAGTAGAAGGCATCCATGGGGAGTTGATGGCAGTTCATGCCCTGAATTTGCTGGCGACGAATAGAAGCGGCGCGCAGTAATCCATCACGGACTGGATTGACCGAAGTGGCCTTTTTGATACCAACGAGGCCACTACAATGCTCTAACCACCCTCTGGCCGAGGTCCATGAAGAGACGTGGAATTCATCCCAGTCACTAGAGTTGGATCTTGTACCCTCGGCATAAGGCTTCAGAGAAAACACCATCTCATATGGAGCGCCGTCGTCGAGTATGAGGGCCTTGGAGACTTGAATTTCTCGAAGACGGAAACTATCGACTTGCTCAGCCGAAATACCTCGCAAATGTGCACGTTGTGACGCCGCCTCTACGGCCATGCAGATGTAGCCTGCCAGTGGGAACGTGGCCAAAGACTGCATTCGATGATCCTTGAGCCATGGAACATCGTCTGTTGAAATGACGTTCTTCCATTTAGGCTCAATATCGCTATATGAATCTTCCAAGAGACCCAAGAGATCATGGCGCCTAAACGGCTTCTGACGCAACTGCTTGGATGAACGAGGCTCAAACCAGTATTTATATTCCGTCCAAGGATACGGATAAAAGTCTGAGACGACGGCAGGCAATCCAATACGTTTGTTTGGATGGTTGATCTTTCTGAAATTAAGAGGGTGGCCTTTGACAAATAGGCTACCCGCACAATCCAAAACCGCGGAGGTCGCATGCTGATTGCGAATGAGGCACGGCAAATACTTCACTCCCATTGCGGCTTGACGGCTGATACTCTTCAAAATCTGCTTAATTGGGCCCTCTAGAGCGGAATGAGGGCCAATTTCGATAATGACATCTGGCTTTCCTCCCATATATAGCTCTTTGAGAGCTGGAGAGAAGAGCACAGGCTTGGTCAGGTTGTCAACCCAATATGACGGCCCAAGAGGTGTGGTGGAATCAAGTTTACTACCCAGCAGGGACGAATAAAACTCGACACTGGAGGTATTTTTATCTGCAATGTACTTGATTGCAGCCTTGTAATCATCTGCAACCAGTTGCATATGAGCCGAGTGATATGCTACTGCCACCCGCAGCTTGCGGTTAAAGGTGCCTCGACTCTCTAATTCTGCGGCAAGCTTATCGACGTCTTCTTCGTCTCCAGAAGCAGTAACGGAATTTGGAGAATTCTCACAGGCAACCGTGATATTTTGCAGCCCTTGAGTCTTGATGATGCCCTTAACCTCCTCGGCTCCAGCGCCAACAGCCAGCATGGCACCTCGGAGATTTGGGTGCTTGAGTCTCATTTCCGAGGAAACTTTGCCGCGCCAGTAGGCCACAGACATGGCATCCTCAAGGCCAATGGCACCAGCAGCAAAGGCAGCTCCGATTTCGCCACTGGAATGGCCAATAACTGCCGACGGCGTGATTCCCCAGGACTCCAAGAGCTTTGTGAGGCCGAGCTGAATCGCTGTGCACGCTGGTTGAGAGATTTGTGCCTCGTTGATCAAAGAGTCCTCTTTTCCCTTGGCTAGCTCATCCAAAAGAGAGAACTCGGCACCAATCTCCTGCAGGTAGTCACTGCATGTGCTGATGATATTGGCAAATATCGGATGGCTCTCCATCAGCTCCTTGCCCATTCCTGCCCATTGCGCTCCCTGTCCGGTATAGACGAATGCCACTTTTGGCTCTTTCGAAGCTACCATAGGAATGGCACCGGCCCCATTGAGCGCATTCGCGAGCTCGCTGCATGACGATGCTGTAATAGCGATGCGCCATTGCAGATGCGTCCTCCTCTCGCCAAGTGTATAAGCCATGTCTCTAACCAACCGTTTCTGAAAGACTTCCGGATGCTGCTCAATGTAGATGCCAAGCTTTTCAACCACTCGCTTGACCGCACCCTCATCGTGAGCAGATAGGACGAATAACCTCGGGGTCACGTTCTGGGTATGTTGAGACGAGTCAATAAGCGAGAACGGAACCCTCTCCAGCACTACATGCGCATTGGAACCTCCGAAACCGAAGCTGTTGACGCTGATGTAGCGCTTGTGTCGAGGCCACGGCCGTATGCTAGTTGGAACTTTGATGTTCCATTCATCGAGAGGAATCGCCTCATTGGCCTTTTCAAAGTTGACGTTGGGAAGAATGAAGCCCTTCTCGAGCATCATTGACGCTTTGATGACGGATATAATCCCACTCGCATTTTCCAAGTGGCCAATATTGGATTTAACTGAGCCCATATACAACGGCGTGCGCTTTGTGCGGCCCGCTCCGAATACGCGATATATGGAATTGGCTTCAATAGGGTCGCCAGCTCTCGTACCGGTTCCGTGGGCTTCAACGTAACCGGTGTCCTCAGGGGATATGCCAGCTCTGTCATATACTTCCCGTATCAAACGCTCCTGCGCCTCACCGCTAGGATTCGTCAATCCTGAGGTTTTGCCGTCTTGGTTCGTACCCGTGTTTACAATGACGGACCGTATTTTGTCTTTATCCTTGAGCGCTTGGTGGAGAGGCTTGAGAATAAGGCAGCCTGTGCCCTCGCCTCGAGCAAAGCCGGATTTTGCCCTGTGATCAAAAGCGAAAGTCTTGCCATGTTCGTTGAAGAGTCTGCGATGTGTTAACAGCCAATCACTCGCATACTTGATGACGTTTTGTTACTAACCCTAGCATTGACATGGAGATCATATCGTGAGGCTGCAGATGCAAGTTGGACGCTGCGACGATGGCCGAATCCGACTCTCCTGACCGGATGCTTTGCACTGCCAAATGTAGTGCATACAGGCCAGATGAACAGGCCGTGTCTGCTGCAAAAGAAGGCCCGTGCAAGTTGAAGTAATAAGAGATGCGGCCAGCCTGGATGGACTGATGATTGCCGGTGGCATCATACATGGGTATCTGATCAATTTCCTTCAACGTTCCAAGCCGATAATCTGAGGAGGCGCCGCCGATAAAGACTCCCATATTACTACCAGAAATGGTATTCTTAGGGATCCCTGCATTTTCTAGAGCTTCATACGTGCATTCTAACAGATGTCTCTGTTGAGGATCTACAAGCGAGCGTGAGCGTTTGGAAATCAACATACGCAACCAGACGTTGCTACTACATAGGGAGAGGCAGAAGTCCATACCCATAGCCTCAGCTTCTCGTTTTGTTATATGGAAAAACGGTGCATCAAAGCTCGACAAATCGCCATTCATAAAATAGCCACCCTTGTTATTGAAGCTGCCTTTCTTATGGGGGTCCGGGTGGTAAAACGCCTTGGGGGTGAATCTCTCTTCAGGAATAGGCCGCCAGCCATCACGCGAGCGCGATAGCATGGTCCAGAAATCATCAAGTGTCGAGATGCCACCAGAAAGGCGGCAGGACATGCCGACTATGGCAATGGGCATTGGGCGCTCCCGATCCATGTCTTGATTTGAGGACGACATGATGTGCAAGAGAATTTCTCTCTTTCAAAATGCCGAGGATGCGAAGGGACGGGTTTGTGTGGTAACCCTTACTCCATACATCCCATAAACTTTAGGAGGGAAAGAAAAGGAGAGCCAAGGGAAAGCAATTGATGTGCGGAGAGGTTGGTTTAATACCGGGCTCCATCTTGATATCGCTCTCTGGGATCTATTTTGAGCTCAAATAACGGCTTGGCAGAGAGGCCCCCCAACGGAACCCAAGAAGAGACATTGGAAAGCCAAAAAGGGACTCCTGAAACCGCCTTCATGAGGCATGGTCTTAATTTCCGTGAACGTCGGCAAGAACTCGCGTGGCGTATGAGCATGAACAGTTTGCGGCCTCGAGACAGGGCGCCACTCAAACCACCCTGTCGGTAGCACAAGCCAACCGTGTTGTTGGACGTGAGATGAAGCCACATTTTCGGAGAATATGGTCCCTTTTCTGGTCATGTAAATGACAGAAGAATGAAAGATATGGATATCATTAAGTCCGTGTGCGGGATGTCTCAGCGATTTCGTCCGCTTGGACCCCAATCCCAATTTGCTGCATGCATCGAGTCACCAGATGTGACCGGCCCGACCACCTGTGAATACAATATCTATATTGTGCCGCTATTGGGTCGTATTTTGAAACATATTGAACAAATAAGGGCGTCAGAGTGACAGAGCGTAAAGCTTGTTCAATCTGTCAATCCTAGGAACTAATCAGACCATTGGCATGCATGATTGCTATTGGCACATGCAAGATAACGAGTATGAAAGCGGCCCAAATTGCATCTCAATTCTCTTTAACCAAGTACGACGATATTAGATGTAGTGCAACCCCCAGAGAGATTACGGCTGTATACCAGAGAGATGGATTCTCGGTCGACGTGACTAGGCACACAATGTCACTCGCAAGCACTGTCCATGTTCTAAATTATGATTAGGGCTGGGCAGTCATTTTATCATCCCTTCTTAGCACCAAAACAGGGAACAAGAGAAACTATATTTATCAATTTGCGGCACATGTCTTTGAATTATCGCGCGTTGTCGAAGGGAAGAACATCAACCAACCTGGTCTGTCGTTGCCTACCCACTTCGGCAATAATACTCCGCAAAGCAACAATACTGAGACATTTCGCCAAGATGACAGGTTTTACCCTTGAGGTGGGAAAAAAAAGGAGGGAGATGTCAGAATGAAAGCTTCGAGCTTTGTGTAAACCGGTAAAAGCTTGGCGTATACCGCGGCCAGACGTGTCATGTCTTTACGAAATACGGGTTCAGGTTGAGCGCTTGACTGCGTCATGCTGTGTAACAATCTTATTTGACAACTTCAGGTTTGTGGATTCGCGATGCGTTTTTGGAAGTATTGCCACAATGAGCTGATGTATTTTCCATCTGTTACGGAGCCATGTCTTGCTTGTTGGCCTTTATCCTTCCGTGTCTTCTTGCTCCTCATTTGGCATCAGATTCACATTTTGGACGCAAATATTGTTCAAAGAGGCAGTTTGCAGGACGCAATGGATAAGCCATGCCACGGGTGATCGAATCCGTCAAATATTGGGTTGAAAGCGATATGCCCGTGCGAGATTGTCTCAGTCTGGACGCGACTTCTCCGCTCCCTCTTTTGTGCTGCCCCGTTTCCGTCTCCTATGCAGAATAGTAGGATTGGGGCTATCAAGGTAGCATGGGTTAAATTGGACATTGATATGTTCCGCATGTTCCCGGTGTCAGGAAAAGGAGTGCTAGCTACACAGAGCAAAAATAAAAAGTTCTGGGGGAAAAATATTCTCTTGATTCACTCCCAACCTCCTGGGGAGTTTGCCTGGAACAAGTCAGATCGGTATCACGTATCATATCTCCAGCACCATGAAGGTTCTCTGTCTCCACGGTGCCTTTGGCAGCGCTTCTGTAAGTTGAAAATGTGATTACAAATTCATATCCTTTCATTATATGTACTAATGTTCTGTTGCCCAGAACTTCAAAGTCCAGCTCGGCATCTTCACCGACGCTGCACGGCGACCTGGTGTTGAGTTCAAATGGATCGACGGCTTCACCAAGGCAACTCCCCCAGCCGGCTTTGACGACTACTTTGGCGCTCCGCCTCTATACCGATTCATGGATGTTGATGGCGTGAGCGAGCTGGAGCAGATGATTGTCAGGATCAGGGATATTCCTCAAGGAGAATCCCCCGAAGCGACGATGCGAAGGCTGATTGCGGATAAGGAGCAGTTTACGACCCCAGCCGTGACAATGGCCTTGGATCGACTGCTGCAACTTCTAGACGAGGACCCGGAGATTGATGTGAGTCGAAGCACTCTACAAGATACGCAGAATCACAGCTAATGCGGCTTAACTCTAGGGGATCCTTGGATACTCGGAAGGGGCCACAGTCGCGGCCACGCTGATTCTTGAAGAGCAACGCCTTTTTAGGGAGCAGGGCCGTCCTCGACGCATCAAGGTTCGATTTTATTATTTTCTTTGCTTTCTTCTACCCTGGGCTATGCATACAAAGTTACTGACAGGACACCAGTGTGCCATATTCTTTGCGGGCTGGCCTCCTGTCCGCATCACCGACGGGCGTGTCCAGACGCTGCTTGCAGATGAACACGACGAAATGATTGACATCCCGACGTGCCATGTCGTAGGCTGCAACGATCCATACATTGATGGAGCAATTGCGCTCTATGGAATGTGCAATGAGGATATGGCGATTTTGTTCGACCATGGCAAGGGACACACGGTTCCAAGGGACGAGCTGACGGTGAGGGAGCTGGCGGAGACGATTGAGAGGACCTTTGACCAAGCTGCAGGATTTAGTCATTAGTTGAAATTCTATGCATATGAACAAGACTTGATTTACTTGCAGATTGTGCTTGCGAAGCGGGATGTCTTAGACATGATGTAGCTCCAAAATTGCGGCAAGGCTCTTCCCCTGATCTACAGGGCAACAGAGAACCTTGAATAGAGGACAACAAATTCGATCTGGCTATTTCACGCGTTTATGATTGACGATGTCGTGTGGGAAATATTGCTTTGGCGTGATTTTCCTCAAGTTGGAAGTGCTGGGGCTCTTTGGTTTCTTTCGTCCGGAAACGGTGGCCTCAATATTCGAGGTCATCTCAAGGGATGCACTCTGCATGGAAACATCAGTAATGGGCGCTTTCAGCCAGATGAATGCTTCAAATGCAAAATGATATTTGACAATTGCTTTTACATTTGCAAACCTGCAAACATTCAATTGCCTTTCACCTTGACCATTGTGTTTGGGATGGAGGAGGAGGAGGGGATGCTCACAACGTTGTGGACCAAACCGATCAATCGTTCGAGAGAAAAAAAGGGGGGAGACTGAGACAATGCAAATCCGGGAGACTGGAAGAATCTAATGATTCTTCAATCTTTTCTTTTTTCTAGACGCACGCACCCAAAGAGCGGCCAAGAGCAGAAAAAGAAACATGTCTGTCTGCACACGTCTTTGCCTACCGGTTCGAGTGTAGGATGGAAGTGAGGGCGAAGTGAGGAGGGCTAGCCAGGTGCCAAGCACCTGCAGTGCCCTGCTATCAATTCACTACGTCGAGGCAGAACAGAGGGGAAAATGGAAATCTTTCCCCCTTCCTGCTCTTTCCTCCCACCTTTCTATTTTGCCAAACCCTTTCTTTTCTTCTCCAACCAACAACTCCAACGAAGCAAGCTATTTTGAGTCAACATCTCAAAGATGGCTCCCTTCATCCGCAGACGTATCCTGCTCATCACCAACGTCGAGTGTGGCGAGCTCGATGTCTTCCTCGCCACGGCTCAGGCTCTGCTCGAGGCTGATCCCGGCTTGGATCTTCATCTGGCCACCTTCCTTGGCGTTGACGATGACGTCCTCCCCGTAGGTGTCACCTATCATCAAATCAACGGCATCTCCATGTACCAAGCCCTCGAGGAACACTACGCGCGTACCCCAGAGGAGGGAAGTATCTCTGAGCCCCTCGACGGACCGCCTGGCTTTTCCAAGACCAGACGTGCCATTCGTGCCTATGCAGCCCATATCATGCCCTACACTGGTCGTCAGATGGTGGACGTCTTCACTTCCATCGTCGACATCATCAGAAACCTCAATCCTGACTTGGTCGTTGTCGACAGCCTCATGTCGGCTGGCTTGACGGCCTGCTACCATTTGGAAGTCAAGTTTGTGTGCCTTGGACCAAACGCCATCAAGGATTTTGCAGCTTCTGAGCAGCCTCGCAAGGCTGGCCTCTGGAAGTTTCCTGCGTAAGTCCTAGCTTGAACGCACATTCTTTCATCTTGTACCCTCTTCATCCTTGTTGCCTTTGGCTAACGAAACCATCCAGGCTCTTCTCCCGCTTTGAGTATCCTGTGCCATGGACAAAGGTCATGCTGAATATTCACTTTTCTTGGTACACTGCCAAGGCCATTAAGAATGACCCGCAGCGAAAGGAAGTGCAGTCATACCTGACCGCACACACCATCCTTCGCGGACCCCTTGATCTTCTCAAGAACCGCCCCGAGGGCGTCAAGATCTTGGTCAGTTCTCTTCCAGAGCTGGACTTTCCCCTCGTGGTCCCTTCCCACGTCATCCCTTGCGGCCCCATCATTCGTCGCTGCCAGCCCCTTGAGGAGACTGATGCTAAGCTCGCCGAATGGCTTGCGCATGGACGGACCATTTATGTCAACATGGGATCCGTCGTCAAAGTGCCCGTGGATCAAGCCATTGAGATTGCCAAAGCCTTGAAGGCTGTGATCGACATTTTCAACCGCCAGACGGAGAAAGGCCGTCTTCAAGCCCTCTGGAAGCTGAAGAAGCGGGGACGATACTCGGTCTATGAACCGACTTGCAGCATTGCCAAGATTCTCCGTTCTGAATTTGCTCATGATCGCGTTCGCATTGTGGATTGGATTCAACCGGAACCCGTCTCCATTCTCCGTACCGGTAACGTCATCTGCTCTATCCATCACGGCGGTGCCAACTCATTCAATGAGGCTATTGTGTAAGTTTAATCTCTCGCTTTGGAAGCATCCTCCCACATCTCGACCACTGTATCCCCTCCTTCTATCTGGACGAATCCAACTAATCAATGATGTGTTTTTTTCAAACAATTTACAGAGCCGGTGTCCCGCAACTTGTTCTTCCTGTTTGGGGAGTCAACTACGACTACGCCCAGCGCGTGGAACGTCTCGGCGTCGGCCGCTGCGGCAACCGGTCTTCTCAGCCTCGCTGGAGCACCGAGGAGGTTACTCGTGAGCTGCTCCACGTCCTGGTTGGCGATGACGCTGTGATCATGAAACAGCAAGCCGCGGCCGTGAAGAAAATTTGCAAGCAGAACGGCAGCGGCGCTGATTGTGCCGCCATTGCGATTTTGAACGAGTGCGAGATGTAAGCCGAGCTGAGGCAGGCTGAAGAGGGGCTTTTATGCTCCATGGTAATTTTGGAACGGTAAATGAACACCAAAGGATTTCAAGGCTGGGAAGAAGCCGCACGAATATCAATGGATGGGAATATGAACATACAGGAACTTAGTTCAATAAAAGTGGCCGCTGTCGCCCTTGTCCACTTTACCGTTGTCCATTTGTTTGTTGTTTGGTTGTTGCTTTGCTCTCGATGAACTGCTCTAGTGAGGATTCCATGTGGCTGACGATACAGAATCATACCAACATGAATGCCAAGGCACATGTCGATTACCCCTACCGCATCGCCAAGCTTGCTGTCGCCCAACGTCGTCCACAATCCTTGGAAGACGTCCACTCTGCGATCACGAAACACAAGAGAACAGAAAACCACGACTCTTCTTGGCAGAGAAGAATACAGCAGAAGCATCCCAACGTCCTTATTGGATGAATGGCTGGCTCCGTTACTCCCGCCCATCTTCTGCCTATTCCGAAAGAATACACCCTAGATCTGTGCCTTAATTAATGCGAGTCGAGCAGCACGTTTGATCTGCGCCCCAGCCTGGGCTTGCCTCCAAAGGCCCCTCCAGCCACATGGGCTTCCCTGTTGCATACGGCGGCTATGCAAAAGTTGCATGACGCTCGTATCCCCTTGTCCGGGCAAAAAAGAGAACAAGAAGGGGGGAAGAGACCGCAAACAGAGATACAGAGGCGGGAGCACGACTTGCAGAGGCGCGCGGGGATTTATCCCACAAGGCCGAGGGAATTCCGTGGGGGGGAGAGAGAGAGGGGGGGAGGGAGGGAAAGATTGGGGAGATTCTGGTCCGCAGACCATGGCCATGTGCCAAATTGCGATCGATAATCTGGCATCATGACATCTCGGAGCCGAAACGAAAGAACGAGATGCTCGAATCAATGACGCAGCATGTCTCACGCACAATGGCTCAAGACTGCAACCCTGAAGCTCGAGAACCCCCGCGATGGCGTGCCCGTGACCTGATCAGCTCCATCACCCGGCATTGTCACGATGTCGCATCCTGGCAGCCCTCTTTTTCTCTTCCCTTTGCTTGCGATAAGCTTCGCGTGGGAGCAGGAGCAGCAAATCTGGCAGCCAAAGCGGAGGGCGGGAATGACTTTCGCGCGCAAGCGGCCCGTATTGGCGTGCCCAAGGGGGGGGGGGGGGGGGGGGGTTGGGAGAATCCAATCGGGCGGGCGCTTCCCTCACCATGTTTGGCGCGATAGGTGTGGGTTTCTGCTTCTGCAGTGCGACAGCATCTTGGGGAATTTCGCTCGCTCCATCTCTCTCTGTCTCTGTCTCTCTCTGTGTGTGTGTCTGTCTTGTCTCTTCTCATCCACCATGTTCTTCCCACGCCCCCCATTTTGATTCTTTTGGGGTGTCATGCGGCGGGCTATCGCGGGATAATAGTGTCATGGGCGGCATGGCCCTTATGGGCACTAGCGGAGAGGGCTTGCAAGCTTGGACGAGCCGGGGACGTTGTCTGGTTTGGCTTCCAAGAAGCTCCCCCCCGGTGGTTGCTGATCAATCAAGCCTCCCGGGAGCTTGGAGAGTGCAGTGGTGATCAAATTGTCGAATCCGTACAAGTACGACGCAGCAGCACGGTAATTGATGCGAGGAACGGGGAGACGGACATGAAAAAGGGCTCAATGGCAGATCCGGTCAGGCCGGATCGTCCCCCTTTGCTCCTTTGTGGTGCGAACCGCGCGGTGCTTCTGTTACGAGTACTGTTCAGATGGAATCAATCAAATCTACAGTACATAATCAAACCAGCCCCGGGCTGATCTGATCTGTCAAGCGAGAGTCAGACTGACGAGAGACGATGACGAAGCTGATGGACAGGAATAATCATGGCTAAGCCGCGAACAAACCCGATCCGAACCCAATCCAATCCAATCCATTCCAAACCAAACCCACTCCCCAATCCCAATCCCAATTCAATTCCTGGAGGGGCAAAAGCCAATTGATGGGATGGTATTAGTTGGATTTCCCCCCCTTCTCTCTCTCCCTCTCTCCCATTCTCTTATCGGCAGCAATACCGCTTCGCCTTGCAACTTTCAACTTCTCCCCTTGTGCCACTCACCCCATTTGTCATTGACGAAGGGGGGGGAACTCGAGAGTACTTTGGTCGGCGAGTCTCGCTGTCATCTGTCGCAACACAAGCTTAACGACACCCCCCTCCCTGGCGCACCATTCTGCTCCCCCACACTCAAATCAGACCTGACTGGGCCCGGACTAAGAAGTTGACTCGAACCGCCCGCCCAAGAGGCGTTGAGAGGCGTCCGCTTGGATGACGTTGACGTACGTCTTGGCTTGGGACCTGGTCCCTTCTATTTTCACATGGCAGCGGCGCGCGAGAGGGAAAAAAAAGGAATCGTAGAGCGCCGATTCGAAATTCTGGAAATGCGCCAGATGGAGGTGACGATCCGCGACATGGACATTCCAGCCGCACAGGGCTGAAATTCCTCCTGAATCAGCCGCAGCTAGGCGAGGAGTTAGTCAAGGTCAATAAAGAAAGGAAGTGAAAAGGAAATTAAGAAAGAGAAGACAAAAAGGAAGACAAAAAGCCTCCCAAGGCAGCCGAGCACCGTCAGAATGATTGATGCCTGCGCAAAGACTGACGTGACGTAGCCGCTCTCTGTTGTTTGAAAACTGGAGAGAGCCAGAGACAGGAATTGGGTCAGCTTATCGATAGAACGGCTGCCTTGAAGAGAAGCCAACCAGCTTCAAGGACTAGGCCGGGACGAGGATAGAGGCAATCCGCAGCTTCGGCTCCCCTTTAGTGGCCGTCATGCTAAGACTACGATGGCCTCGTCAGCCCCATCTTGTGACTCACTCTCTTGTGGACAGTATTACTGAAAGGAGGCGTAGCAGCACGACTAGCCTGTGCCACTAGCTGGTCCTGCGTGAGTGGCCGGCGGTATCATGCACGCTGTTTACGCTTCTCAGATCCAGATGCTCTTGAAGTGCAGCTTCACATCCATCGCACGCCCCCCCCCTTGTTTGCTTGTTCTGTTGCTCCCAATTGCCTTTTTGCTGCTCACTAGCAACGCTACTGTAAGTCCCTCGATTTGATTTCTGGTTCATGTTTGATTCCGGCTGCCTTTTTTCCCCATCTATCGCATATCACATTCCCCCCCATCCCCCATCCCACAAGTACTCGTGCTACTACTACATGATACATGATGGAGGGTGTTTTGATATCGAAATAGCAGCAGCATCAAGAAATAAACCGAGACAAGACAAAACCAAAAGGGGGGGAGAAGAGCTCAGGTGGACAAAGTCACGCGAGTTACGGTGTGGATGCCGAGGCGCAACCCATTGGCCAATGGATTGGGCGTGTGCCCGTCGCGTTGCTCCTGGCCAATTGTTCCAATGCTGCCTCTCTTCAGCTGTGCCTGTTGCTTGTGGTGCGCGTTGCGTTGCGTTGCGTCTTCTCTGCAGGCAGATGCCGAGTGGCCCTCCTCCGACAGGGTACATACAGTACAGGGGGCCTTGCGCTTTGTGCTTTTTGTATCTTACAGTACGAGCCTCGCAACAAAGGGCTCTGGCTCTCCATGTCACCGAAGCCGGATGGGATAAGACGGGCCGGGTTCTTTTTCGCTGGAGATTGGGCCGCTCTGATCTGACGGCGCGCGCGCAGAGAGCGACAATTGGGAGGGGATGGTGATGGACCAGTAGGTCTGCGCCAACAATTCTTGTTCTTTTGCTCTTGTTCGTTGCCATCAATCAGCATCAGCATCAGCATCAGCATCATCTTCATCCAATCCTGTCTCTGTGTGTTTTTTTTTTTTTTTTTTTTTGTTTTTTTCCTTATTCGTCTTCGTCCCCCGCAGCATCCATCAGCATAACAGTGACAACTAACAAAGAACCATCGCCAGCCAGTCGTTTCCATCAAGCCTCACGGAGCGAGATCCTACTAGTCGACGCCAAGGCAACGCGAAACCAAGCCAAAAGCACACCTACGCAACCGCAGAAAAGAAGCACAGTACTCGTACGGGTAGCAAAAAGCATGTGAGGGGCTCCCCCCCGGCGCCAACAATGGATGGCCGTTTCGGACACGACGACATGCCTCTTGCGATTGGGCTGCCTCGCTAGCCGGTGCCCAGAATAGGTAGTCCGGGCCATTGGGCATCAGGCACCTGAACTGACCGAGATATGCAAATGGATGGGACTTGTATGGATCCCCGATAGAGATGGGGGTGGCTCCTCGAGACTCGGAGTCGGCGCGGACCAGGGCTGTTTTGTAACGGTTTGTCACGGTCAGTCAGAGTCAAGTCCCCTTGTCTCTTGTTTTGGGAACCTACCTAGCACGGCACAAGTTGGTCGTCTTCTCGTCGTCGTCGTCGTCGTCTTGCGGTACTTGTTGCTTTCGATGCGGACTTGCAACAGACACTCCCGACACTCCCCCCTCCCTCCCCTCAATCCTCAATCACCAATCCATTTCAGTCACCCCACCAACCGCCCACCTGTTCATCACCCGTCCGTCGCCTTGGGCTGGTTTGGCTTGGTTTGCTTCTGCTGGGAAATCGCGGCCAGACCAGAGCTGAGTCGAGTTGAATCCTTATCGCGCCACTGCCGCCAGAGATGTCGTACATGTCGTCTGCTGCTTGCATTGACCGCGCGAGAGATGCAAGAACCCTGCATGAGTGTTTTTTTTTTTTTTTTTTTTTTTGAATTTCTCTTCTTCTTCTTTCCTCGATCCGTCCTTGCGTCTTTGCTTCTCTCGCCCACGTTAATCTCCGCGGTCAATTACCCGAAGACTGCCAGGGCACAAGCAGCTTCACGTTCTCGAATCTCATTCCCCTCTTTCTCGTTCCAATCCTACCAACCGGGCCCAGATGGACCGAAGACGCTTTTTGCTACTCGTACGCCGAGGCCCTTATCGATGGATGAGGGGTGATAAACCAACTGCCCCTCCTTTTTCCGTCTTGTTCTGTCTCGTCTTTTTTTTATCGCCAAAAGATGCCCCTCCATGGCCCTTCTTTTTTCTTCGCCCACCCATTCATTATCAATCATCCCATCACCGTCCGTCTAGTCAGTCAACCGCCCGTTTTTTTTCATCACCTTGGGTGGTGCTACTGATGCAATTGACGTCTTTTGACAGATGCTTCGTGACCAAAGGCTTGTCCCATGCCGTCTCGCTGCTACGACGCTCAAGTCCCTCAGACACCGAATCACCTCACTTTGCAGTAGCATTGGGCTTGATTTACACGCCGCCTGTCCTGTGCCTTGCTTGATGCTATGATTAATAGTTTGCCTCTATGCTCGGCAGGCAACTGGGCGTGTCCCATTTTCGGGCAATTACTCGTAACTTGATCCTGGCCACTGTCCAATCCAATTTCCCCTCATTCCATATCATGTTCCTCGCCATTCTTTTGCTTTCTTTCTCGCGACGCTCTAGCCGCCAGCTCTAGAGGCATCCCACCCACCAA